CCCTCACTGGGGCCAAATTCATGGGTTTTTCTGTAAATGAGAGTTTAAAAAAATTTATTTTTATTTAAAATTTTTTTTCTCAAATCTCACTGGTGGCTGACTTCCAGTGGTACAGAAAGGCAATATAGTGAATAGTGAATCTCTCAGCCTGTAAAAGGAGATTTCCAAAGAGGGCCAAGAAGCTCAAGTTTAGGCAGAAAGAGTTTTCTCAGTGATGGACACTTGGATGCCTACAGGAGACATAAAGGGCCCTCAGACCACAGGATAAAGGGTGAGAAAGCTTCAGGTTTTGAGGGCATGTTACCTCAAGCTGCAATTTGATCGGGGGATTATTAAAATCTCTGCTCAACTCTACTTTGGGAAATTGGGCTTTCATCTTCTCTGCTAGTGTGTTATTATTTCGATCTCCTGTTTTAGTTTCTTGGGATATTCTTTATCATTATTTAAAAAAATATTTTAATAATTAAAAAAAGTCTTTTAATTATTTCAGCTTAGTTGTTTAAAGGTAGCTCAATTCAGGGATCCAGATGCCCCAAGGTGAGGCAATCATGATTTCAGACCAACTTCTTTTCCTCATCCAATTTTGCATTTGTGAGCTCAGTTCTCGAGCTGGTGACAGGAGGGAGTGCAGTGTTTATATGTTTATTGTTGCTTCACGTGGATTGGTGTGGAAGGCACCAACTGTAAGTTGTCAACTTGCAAATACACTTGGCCGCCGGGATCTTTGGGCGTTGTCCTGAGGCTTTGGGTTCCGTTATTTCATGGGCACTTTGCTCAGACACTGCCAGAAGCACTCTCACTCTTGCCTGCTCAGTTGGAGTCAGTTGCAGGATTCTTGGCAGCCGGTTGTGGACACATGGGTGGGCAGTCAGGAGACGCTTGGGAGCTATGGGAGTTTTGCAAGTGCAATAGGAAGAGGTAGGGACGTCAAAATTGCTCCCCATGTGGTCTGTTGTGCCAGGGCACGCTTGTTGACACTGTGGGTTCCAAGGAAGTCTGGACATTAGATGGCACCTTCTGCTTACAGCACCTCCTCCAACCCCTCTTTGTTCATTGATTTAAGAACAACAGGAGGCAGAAAGCCCTGGCTTGACAAGATCCTAGAAGTGCCCAACTGGTCTCTTTCCAGCCAAGTGTGTGGTGTGTCCACTTCCTGGGAGGGAGTGGTCCCGGGAGGCCTCTGAGCCCTTCCCCAGAAGTGTACATGCAAATCAGATGGGGGTGAGCCCGTACCTGTCTTTGCTCTGAGATGTGTGCGTATGGGATTGAGCCTTTTTTGTCTCCCAGCTGAATTAAGAGGGTGACCATTGTGCTCAGGGCCCCAAATAACCCCACCCTTCGAGTGCACAAAGTCTCAGGCTGCACTTTGTAGAAGTTTAAGGAATAGCTGGAAACCCAGTTGGAGACAAGTGTAGGTTGGGTGAATGGCTGTGAACAAAGCTGATGTGGCTATGGTGATGCTGAGAAGAAGCGAGCACAGAGTGGGAGGGGCAGGTGCCCCTACTCTCTGCCACGTCAGGCCATACCTGGGATCTGTGGTCAGCACCAGGCATCACCCAGCAGAAGGGGAAGTGG